AGAGAGAGAGAGAGAGAGAAAGAGAGAGAGAGAGAGAGTTTGCATGTGTACTTATGTGTGGTCGTATATAACATGTTCAGTCTCGTATAAAAGTGCACCTTTGTTCCTGAACAATGCGTTGTCTGTTGGTTGTATTTGCAATTTGTATGCCCTTTTTTCGTTTTATTCCCTTCCATATTTCAAAATCTATGTTGAATATTTTTTCCAAGTAAATGTCTCTTTTTGTAAAGTATAATTTTGAACTGAGGGCACCCATTTGAATGCTCCTTTCTCCTGTCTTTCTCCCTTTGTCATATCTTTTTCTTCCTTTTTCTTCCTTAATTTTGCTCCTATCTTCTCGGTGACCTCAGTGCTAAAGGGATTTTTTCATTGTATATATTATGTATGATTGTTTATTAATTTGATGAGATTTGTCGTATTCAGTTCATCACGGTCTCTCATATTGTATCCCAAAGTGGACACCGATCATAGACTTGTACTATAATATCCTAGATCGCGAACTGTGATGGGGACGCAAAGCTTCATTCTCTCCATAAAATCTTTCCCAGCGATATGTGCGTGCAGTGAGCAGGTGTCACCTGCACCCCCCCCCCCATACACCCTCCATCCCCATCATCCAAAAACTTGGTTAATAATTAAATAGTGCATCCCCCACCTATTCCCGAAATATGCCAGTTTTCTCGGTTTAGGATGATGATAAAATTATAGTGCAAGTTTATGGTGGGCCTACCTACTGGCTGACTGGAAGAATAATGTGTGTTTGTGTATAGTTTAAAGACTATTCTTACTTTTTAATGTCATGTTTTTATTTCTTATCAGAAAGACTGAAACAACAGAAATATTGAATATGACCTTATTAACTTTTTCTTTTGTAAAATACATATATGTATATTTCACTTATCACGTACAAAAGAATTTGTAGAAGATTTAAGGTGCTTGTGAGGATTTTTACGTATGACTTATATTATAACTTGATCCGGTAGATTCTGTCTCAATAACTGTCCACTTTTGATAAAAATGTCGTAGAATTTGACGATGAGATTGCATTTATGTATGTTTGGGTGTATGAGTTTGTGAGAATGTGTGTATATATGTTTGGGTGTATGAGTTTGTGAGAGTGTGTGTATGTATGTTTGCAGACCCACATGTGTTTTGTGTTGTTGTGTGTTGGTTTGTGAAATGGGGGTGGATGGGTTGTATTTCGTTGGGGAGGGGAGAGAGAGAGAGAGAGAGAGAGAGAGAGAGAGAGAGAGAGAGAGAGAGAGGAGGAGGAGGAGGAGGAGGAGGAGGAGGAGGAGGAAAGAGAGAAACAGACAGACAGACAGACAGACAGACAGACAGAGCGTTAAACATGAGCATCGAGTGGCTGAAGTCAGTCAGTACTGAGTTCTAAACTAAGAAACAGACACAGAAAGAAGCTCCAGAAAACAGAAAAAGCGACACATACACATGCATTATAATTGAAAAGACACATACAGAGCGGATTGAAGAGGGGGAAAAAAGGAGAAAAAACCATCCCACAAAAGAACCGCATACTTGGCGTAGAGGCCGACTTACCAACTGACTGAAAGACTGACTGACTGACAGATCAAGAATCTAACTCAAAAAGCTTCATAAAATGTGACACTGAACAAAAACGGACACAGACAAACAATCTGGAGACATCAATTTCATTTCGAAAGAATTGTTTATCATGTACATGTATAAGTGTATGTTCCTCGTTCATCATTGTTTTCTTACACAATATAATTTGTGTAACACTCTTATATGTAAATCATTTTATTATACATACATCATTAAATGAATGTACATAACTTCCATTTCTACTGTTATTGGACTTCAGTGCGTATTATGTAGTTGGTA